TAGATGAGCAGCAGCCCCTCCCCTTGGGCAGACGGTGCAGCACTGATGGCTTCTCTGTTTCCCAGCCTGCGCCAGCACTTGAGCCCTGCAGTCTGTGGTCAGCTCTGGTATCTCTGTGCTATGCTGTAGTTGTGATGCCTGACTATCTGGAGGGTACAGCAGGCAGATCTTTGCCCACTTGCAGCTGTCCAAGCCTCTCACATCTCCTTAGGGGCCTTCAGATCTTTCTAGTTAGATACTGAGGTATCTCTGAAGTATCTGGGCCAAGGAGAGGCAAACAGTCACTCAGAGCTGTGCAGCCAGTGTCCCCAGCGACTGTACTTTGCTGTTGGGCTAAAGGCAACTGCCTGGTTCTGGCTTGGCTCTGACTTTGGTTTTGGCTCTTGCTTGGAGCATCAGGCACAGCTGGAGGTGCAGGGGAGACATATAGTGAGCTTTAAGCATAACTCAAGTACTGAGAGCAGGGCTCAGGCTTGCTGCAAAGCCCATTCAGGACACTGGGTTAGAAGAGGCTGAGTCTTGTTAGTGTCAACCTATTGAATAAAGGACACCTCAGTGTCTGCCTCAGAGGCAGACAAAGTTGAGGTCAGCCAGGGCAACCCATGAGAACATAAAAACTGACACTGGTCAGTTTTGAACAGGTGAGGTGACACACAGGCTGAAACAGGGCAGGAGCCTGGCCAAGGGCTGTAGCTCAGTCTTCATGCATGTGATGAGATCCCTTTCTCCTCAACAGTGCAGAGAATTTTCTAATGCTTGTGCAGGCAGTAGGTGATCTGCTTAGTGGTCTCCTGGCAGGCTTGACTTGCAGCCCTGCACCCTGCAGGAGCAGCCCTAGCCCTCCTGCCTTGTCCACTCTCAAGAAAAGCTTTCAGAGACATGTCAGTCCGGCTTTTGCATGGAGCAATCTCTGGTGTATCTATTTCCCTTGTGCCCAGGGGCTCACGTGGGATGTGGAAAGGGATGGATGGGTCAGCTCTGGGTTCCAGCTGCCAAAACCTTCAGCCTGCCCTGACATCTTTCCATCACACCCACCAGCCACAAGGTATCTGGGCTAGCCTGTCCCTACTCAAGGCGATGTGAAATTAGTTAATTAATCCTTGTTCCCTCTCCATGGCAGGGAGGAGTATGGGCTCAGTGCCAAACTTGAGATGTGAGAGCAGGCAGTGATTTTGCCTTATGTTAAATGAGTGGAGCTAGAGGAAGGGCTACAGCACGCAGAGTCCTTGGTGCAGCAGGTGACAGGGAAGTGAGCCCAGGGGACCAGACCGCTCCATCTGCCTCCTTCCAACAAGAATCCTCAGGTCAGCAAAGGGGATCAAGATGCAGCCATGAGAGGCTAAAGGGAGTCAAGGTGGCTAACTCCATGCAAGGTGGGACACTGCTGCTGGTAGGCCCTGGTGGGAGGGTGGTTTCACAGGGATCAGAGATCCAAATGGGAAAAAAAATCCAGGGGCAGATCTGTGGCTGGCAGCAGCAGAGAGATATGACTGACAGAAAAGGGCTGGAGGAGGGAGTCAAATTCAGTCAGACCCCTCATGGGGATGAAGGTGTGGCATGTATAGGGGACCACACAAAGGAAGAGCATCACAACATGGAGAAAGATATCTGGAGAGAGGTGCCCCCTCCATCGCCAGATACCCAAGCATAATCTAATCCCTAATCTAAACATGTCTTCCCCTTCCCCTGCTCACTGAGATGATGGGACAAGGGTTTCCCAGCCAGACTCAGGACCCAGTTCTGCTCTGGGGCTCACATGGGCTGGCAGGATGCTGCTGTGGTAGGCTGTAACTGCAGTCTGTATCTCTAAATCTTCTCTGCTTTTTAGGTCACTTCGTTCTGCTTATAAATCTTGGCCTTGTCGTACAAGCAATAAATCTTCCCCTTTAGTCAGCACCATTTATTTTTTTCTCTGGTTTTGTTAAAATAACAGGGTCAGAATATTTAAAATCCAGATTGTTGCGTTTTCTGTGGTTTTGGCTCACAATTAGTATTCTCTTCCATTCTGGGAAAATGCCACAGACCCGTGGCCAGACAGGTCTGCTTGGGAGCTTGAAGGGAATGAGGAATAGGGGAAAGGGGATCCAAAGGATATGCTGAAATAATCTGCCACTCACAGAGTCCTTACATGCATGCTCAATCCCCATGCATGCGTGTAGCACATCCAGTGCACCTACCTGCACACAACGTTACCTGCCCTGCTGTCACACATCAAACACCTTGCTGGCACCCTGCACTGGCCTTCACTGAGGCACAACCTTGCACAAATCAGAGCTGCATCTTCTCCCTCCACCCCTAACACCCATAACCGACCCGAGATACTTGGCAGAGAAAATAAGTGGTTCCCATCCCTTGCCTTGCCAAACAGAGCTGTTAACCCAAACCTCATCCCTGCCATGCCACCTTGGTGCTCTCAGGCTTTCCACCCTCCCTAGTGTCAGGAGCAACTTCTCAGCAACCTCTATACCCGCTGTGCTTCTCACTCCTTCCTACAAGATGCTGCTGGGTCCCCATCTGGGAGAAGCAGCATCTCTCCTCTGCTGCCTGCCTGGGGTGGAGGAGAGACTCTATGGGAGTTGGGTTCATGTGTTGCAACAGTGGGAAATAGCCTCTGCCAAGCAGCAGGGCAGCCCTGCATGGGATCATGAGCCTGCTAACAAGTCACATGTGATGGTGCAAAGCCAGTGTTCCACACTCAGCCACCCTGGAGCCCACAGATGTGCAGTGAAGCATCCTGGTGTGTCTGCATTACAGTCCTCTTCTTAATGACCATACTACTTGTGTTTCTGCAGGTTTCACGTGAAGGACTGTACTCACTTGAGCATACAGTCAATACTCCTTTCGATCTTCATCACTCACTGTCTGGCTCCAGGCTTTATTTATTGCACAACATCAAATCACTGAGCCAAAGACAAAAATGGCTTGCTCCCCTGTGGCCCTTTTGGTGGGCATTCCTGGTGATCAGGCTGTAACAATATTAGCAGTGCTTCTACCTTTGGAGGTGATATTGCTGTCTGCAGTGCATGCAGGAGGGGCTGAGCTGTAGCAGCTGTAGAATCAATAGTACAGAGCACCTTGCAGGAACAGCCTGAACCCCAGTCTAGTTTCTAATCTGACAGCACATCCCCTTCTCCCTCAGGGAAGAATTGCAACATAAAGTTCAGGAATATATTAGTGTGTAAGTTGTGAGAATGACTGCAGATGGGGTGTCAGGCATAGACAAAGACTAGAGTAAATTCTGGGTTATCAGAGGTAATCCCCACTGGTGGTGCCCTGCTTGAGAGAGCCACAGCCCTAGTAGATATCATTTTGTAGATGACACACTGAAAAGCTTTGAGTGTTTCTGCAAAGCAGATGCAGTGTGGGAATATCTAGAAAAGTAAGAATTAACAATTAATGAAAAAAATATAAAGAGCAGACTCAAGCTCTCTGGGTGATACTAAACAACCTTACATTTTCCCTCTTTGGCTACCCCCTCTACCTCATTTCCCTCCCAGACTGTGCAAGAAATAAAGCCACATTCCTGCAAAACAGAGCCCTCTTTCCTGCACAATTCCTGCTCAGCCTGAGAGCTGTTATGACCTGTGTGCTAAATAAGAGGGACCCTGAGAAGTCAGTACAGAGTGGGACTCTGTATCTCAGCATGTGCATGACAGAGGTGAGCTGAACTCGGGCAGCAGAGACAGAGATGAATGCTATGTGCATGCATATATATACATATATATAATATATGTATGTATATTACATATATATATACACACATGTATTTGTTCATTAGTACTTTGCAGTACTTTAAGACCTGAATCTCCAGAGTAATTCCAGTATCCCTTCAGACTCCCATCTGGAGCAGTTATTTTTTATTACAGGAGAGAATAAAGGAAGCATTTACTAGGCATGATTCCTTTCATTGAATCATAGAGCTGGCCATCCTCTTCGCCATTGGATTTCACAACTCTTGTTGCGAGGGAAGCATAAGATGTAGAAATTCTGGGTTGGTTTGGAAGGCTCTTTTGCATTGCTCTGAGCCCTACCCCAGACGTTCTCCAGGCAGTTCAAGATGCCACTGTTTCATCATCATTAACACCAGCTGGAGTGCATGGCTGTAGCTTAAGTGATCCACTGGCCCACAGTCAGGGTAGGCACCCGGGTTCTGTTTTAATGTTTTAGCATCTGTTGAGCTTCAGCCAACAGCTGCAGATTGTGACATGTAAAACAAAACTACGTCTGGCTTTCACATCAAGTTCTCTGAAGCGCTGCTCTTAAGTGCTGGGATGAGGCAATGTTAACTTAGGGCCTAGGTGAGTAGCCCTGCAGATCTCATGGCACAGAGAAGACACCTTCACCCAAAAACATCTGAGGCTTCATGCAGGTCATGTCTGGCATTGCCCATTCCCTGATGGGTCAATGGAGTAGTTGGAGTGGAGTAGTTGGACCCATTGCTGGACACCCTAAGGTGGAGGGGAGTACGAGGACAAGGGGACCTGGCACCACACTGACAGCCCATGGTTGTTGGCTTATTTCACACCTGCTAGTTTTGGAGCTGCTGCCTTGGCTCCTCATTTTGTAGGGAAAGTCAAGACCAAAGGACAAGAGAGAACCAGCTTTGCTTAGTGTCATCAGGAGCCAGCAGCCTAAATAGCTGCAGGCCTGGTGTGGGAAGGGGAGGTTTGGGAGAGGCCAAAGGAATGCTGGGTTAGGGAACATCAGGGGAGAGCTTTGCGCCACCCACCCTGTGCTCCCTTCAAAAGGATCCCCAGCACTATCTGCCCCAAACCTGCCTGTGCCATGTCCTGTGCCCGGCCTCTGTCATGGGCTTTGAGCAAAAATGAGAAGTCTTCCCCAGGGACTTAACCAGATGTTTTGGGAAGCCTCAGGGTCAAACACGCCTCAGTGTTAGGTAGTAATGCGAGCTATTCCCTGCCCCAGCCACCGTGAGCACCAACTGCAGGCTGCACCTTGTCATCCCACCCCCACACAGAGGGACACGCAGGCTCACCCGCTCGAGTACTGCAGCTTTATTTGAATGAAATAATCCACGTTGAGAGTCTATAGGTTACACAGTGGGTGCATTGGGGTTGTGGGCAGGGGGATGGATGAGGCAATGCTTATAAAACATCTCACCCTGTTTAAAAGGTTCAGTTCAGTCCCTTTGTGTTTTGTGCTTTTAACGTTGTGGACAGCTCAGTATCGTGGTGGTGAGAGGGTCCCAGCTCCACTCAGTGGTGGTGATGGCATTCTATGAGATGCGGAGCGGGGATGGCACAAGACGTGGTGGTGATGAGGGAGGTCGGTGGAGAATGAGGCTCTGTCCCAAGATCTCCACCTAGTATATTGATGGTAAAAAAACCAAGAGACACCAGAGGACCTCTCCCCATCCTCCATTGTATCCCCCCAAAACAGACCTTTTATGTTGCTTCTTTTGGGGAGTGTGTTTCTAAACACTTCTGTCAGGTCAATATATACTCTCTACTGGCCTTAGTGACCTGGAAGTGTCAGGGTGACGTAGTCCCATTGGAACTGGATCCCACTGAAGTGGCTCACTATTGGGCCTGAGCTGGTTCTCCCTACACCTCAGAAGTTGAGGACGGGATTTGGTGTGATCCCCTTCTATGGGATCCAGGGATGAAGTCTGCTGCTGTCTCTCTAGGCTGGAAATGAAACAGTTGGTGAGGATAAGTATGGAGCAGGGGGATGGAGTGAGGAGGAGTGTGGAAATCACTGTCTGATGCTCACTTCTGGCCAAAGGCAGGAGGTGCCAGAGTTGTGTCCTCATGAGACAGTTGTATCTTGGATGATGGTCCCTCTCCTCTGCTATGTATATTGCAATACAGACAGAATGGTTCTGGTTGGGAAAAAAGACCCAAGCAAAACCATGCTGGCACCAAATTTTCCATTCCGTGTGGAGATTAGAGATTTTACTCATGCTGTCAGGCAGGGGCTGTGACCAAAATCACAGAGAAGAGCCACATATCTGTAGCATCCACAGCTTTTGGAGTGTCTTGAGATGAATGACTGGTGTAGAGCCCCCTGGGATGAGATGGTACATCTAGAAGATCCCAAAAACTGGGAGAACAGGCCAGACTCATCTATTTGAAAGCACTGACACTAAGCCACTTAAACACTAACAGTTACATAAATGCACTGAGAAGCTGGGGATGGGCAGCAGAGAAGGACAAACATCAAAGTTTGACGAGAGGAAAAAGTCACCTCCAGCAAACTCTTGATAGAGTCATCTTGTCCCAAGATGCTACATAGCAGGGTCTCCAGGAAACAACCAAATAAATGCACAGGAAAGTTTCTTTGCTCCAGGTCTGGAAATACCTTCCCTCATCAGCATCTTAATTTTCCCAGGGAAATGTCTAGAGCTCACAAGTCTCTTGCTCAATCTCTGTGTGGTACATGCTGCCACCTGTACAAAAGACCTAAATACTGCCCCCACCTGTGGTTGTTAGCATTTCAAAGACAGAATGAAATCGATATTCTCGCTCACTACAGTTGAAGTGCTGTCTGAGCTGACCATGCTGCTACAGCCTCTCTTGGCTGTTCCTCTCTATGCTGATACCCACAGCTAGTTCTCGACAACAAGGCCCATTGAGATAAGATATACCAAATGTTCCATCTTCAAAGGTGCTCAGAGTTGGAGCATGGACTTTTGGAGTAGAGAAAGATGGGGACTCGATGGAGGTGCTGCCACCTCCAAAAAGGGTTTTCAAGTCCTGTCTTCTCTCTGCTGCATTGCTGGCAGCTGCAACAGATCCACACCTCAGTTTTTAGCTTTGATCCCTCTACAAGCTGCTAAGATAAACATCTTACCAGTGCTGGACCAACATGTGGAGACAGCTTCATCCCAGCACCACGTTATATATCAGAGTCACTAAAAGGAAACCAGTTGGTGCCTGCCCACAGAGGCTGCGATGCAGATGGGAAAGTGGGGCTGCAGTTGCTCTTAGGTAGTTTGGGCTCATCACTGAGCAGCTGTAACACTGACAGCAAAGGAGTCACAGCTCACTCAAAGTGACTGAGCAGGACTGCTAACATCTGGCATGTTCCAGCTCCTACGCAGGGCCTGCCTTTGCTGATGATCTTAGGCATACTGTAGTTATGCAAGTTTTGAACATCTAGGAGTATGCATTGTAACAGCTGGGTTTTCCACAACTAACAGCCACTTTGCTGCCTAAATGGCAGCTTCCTCAGCCAAAGTGGGCCTCTGTTGGCTGGCAGCAGCAGTGGGGCTTTTGTCTTCCTACAGACTTGGCTGGCAGACAGGACAGATGCACATGGGTGGTAGAACAGATGAGTACCCTTCACTTGGCTCAGTGTTTAGGCAAGGACCCAGCCATTACAGCACCTCCATCGCTATGAGCTTTGGGCACTGGCACTGCCTGGGGACACTGCCACACTGTGAGGGCTGTCCAGCTGGCCCTGTCTTATACCAACTTTAGGCCATCCTGGGGGTAAAAAACCCTACTCTAAGTCAAACATTCATAGACAAATTTCCCTTTAGAACAACAATTAATGGAAGCACAAAATTTTGCCTCATTCCACAGGAACAAATGATCTTATAAGCCATATCAAATCCAAGAAAAACATGGATTTGCCATAGACCTGCAAAGCTCTCCACAAAACCCTCTAATCCCCCAGCTCTACCTTCGCAACAGATGTGAGTAAAGACAGCATTTCTCCTTCTCCCTTTCCCTTATTCTCTGCCCCATGCTGGAAAACCCTCACGATGAAAGGCAGCAGAGAGAAATGAAGTGCCTGTGTCCTGGGACCTTAGCCCTACCTCCCTTTCCAGCTTTCCCAAGGGGTCACCAGTGCAAGGACAGTGGATTGCTCGGCTTCCTCATGCACAGATGCGCTGAGGCTCTGGAGGCAGACTGGAGCATTTTAATAGTACAGGTCAGACAAAATGGAGTGGGATGGCATTGCTCTTCCATGGGCAAGAGGTGTCCTGGAGACTACGACTCTCTGCAAGCTGCATCCCCTCCCTCTCTAGAAAGGCAGGTTGGGTGAAGGTGGCCCTCGTCTGTCCTGCAGTGCTCCTTGGGACATTTAAAGCCTCCAGGGTACAAGTGGTTGTCTCTGGTTTGATGTGACCATACCAGACTGGAAGTAGCCATCAGAAGACCCCAGAATCCCCTGTGGTAGGCTAGGTGGAGGCAGATGGTCAGCCAAACTGACATGTCTTACTCACAAATGGGAGTACTGAAAACCACATATATATGACAGCTATCAGTTGGGATACCAAGTGAGTTTAGGCTATTCAGCTCACTGCTGGAAACCAACAGCTGCCAGTTATTACCATGGAGTGTAAATGGGATCCTGTTAAAATGCAATTTCCAGAACTCTTCAGCACTTGTTCTTCTGCAAAAGCTTTTTGTCTCCATTAAATGCCTTCCCAGGCTGAGGAGGACAAGCTGTTACCAGTGGGGCCAAAGCAAACACAAATGCTGGCAACAGCCTGCACAGGGTCCTGCTGCTGCACTCTTGCCTCTACAAACAGGGGTGCACATGCACGGAGGGCAGCCTAGAAAAGACCAGATGTCAGGTCAGTTTAGGTAACCAAAACTGGTCTCTGCCAAAGCCAGGAGTGCAAGAAGGCCTCTCCTTTGCATAGGAGATACAATGCCACTTCTTACCGTCACAAAAAAGCTAGGTCCTTCTCCCTGGGTGCAAGACCTGGGCATTTCTTGGGGCTGTGTGCACCCATCTTGAAGCCCAGAGCCCATGGTGATATGGGCTTAATCACAGTGGGGTTGGATCAAGGGTTGGACTTGATGATCTCAGAGGTCTGTTCCAACCCAGTTAGTTCTATGATTCTATGATTCTATGTCCCTCCATGCTGTTGCTAGGTCACCCAAAGGCAGGAGGCAAAGGGTGCTGCAGCATTTCTGGAGAAAGATGGATATCTGAATGGTGCTGACAGAAGAAGGGGACTAAAACAGCAACACCCCGAATCAGCAACTCCCTGAGCTCTCTGCTTCAAGGAAAAAGTTTGTCTCTTTGAGTGGGGTGAGGTGACACCATTTACTCCATCTAGCAGAGAAAATGCCCTGGTTCTTTTGTCTGTCCCTGTCTGGGGCAGGTGAGGTCCCTTAGGGCAGCATGAAGGACCCCCTGGCAATTTCCTGCCTCAGGCTGGACAGGCAGGAGTAAAACTCCCTGCCTCAGGCTTGGAGACAAGGCCAGGGCAGCGATGGAGGGATGCTTCTGCCATCAGCACCACTTCCTGATCCCAGTGACTGTCACTCCCAGGCTGAGAAGCACAGGACACCAACCCAAAAGCAGAGTGCGTTTCTTGGCACAGAATGATAGGGAAGGGCTGAGGATGAAGAATCCTGCTCTCCCTTTGGTAGCAAAGCATTTTTTTGTCATTCTGGAGTAGTGCACCCACAGGATTTTGTATAGAAAGAAATGAAATTTCCGTATTTTGAATAGCAACAGGGAACCAAATACAATTTGTATCATGTTCACTATGCTCATTTATACATCTCTAAATTATTTTTGCAAGAAATTTACCAGCCTAAACATCTGAAGCCTGCCCTACTTTTTCCCCAGTTGCCACTGCATTTCTCACCAGAAGGAAACTAGTTCCCAGAAGAAGGGCTCCGTATCGCTGTTGCTACAGCTGCTTTTCAGGCAGCAAGCTGTGCAGCTCTGCTGGAGCAGCTCTGCATGCATGACAACCACAACACTTCAGGAGTTCCCAAGCCATTTGTGCACTATGCAAAGTTTTTCATATAGATGAAACGGTTTTTTCGCTCCCGTACAGCTGGGAGGAGTTGCACTCAGGCGTTCAAAATTACTTAACTCCAGATCAAATGAAACATATTAGTTCCATTGCTTTCCAATGGCTGATCTACGTAGAAGAAAAATAGTCTATTACTATTATCAGCCAGGAGCTGCATTCCAGAGCAAGCAGTAGGAATTGATGTTCATATTGTTAAAAGTCATGGATTAAAGTCCTGTTGATGACCTGTTATTGGGACTTGCACTGAACTGTAGAAAATTATAATTAAAAAAGTGTATTTTTCAGAATACAGTGAACATCTACAAAAAGAGTTTTCAGATGAAAGTTTCTTTGTAAGCCCCACTTGTAACTACACAGTAGCATTCACTGCTTCTAATATCTACAACTTATACCCAGGAGCCTGCACACGCACATATTTTCTGTTTTATACCCTGAAAAAATAAAAAAAAAGAAATTGAGTATATATCGGCTAACACCCACACAGCGTTCTTCCTAATGTATTTCTACAACTACCGAGCAGAGGTCTCTTTGTAAATAAAAGCAGTCTCTTAAATTTATATTGCACTTTTCTTCTGCAGGGACTTTCATGCTATATACACGAATAATATCCACCATTGCTGAAATGCAGTCAGTTCTGCAGTGGAATAAAGCAGCTACTCAATAGGCACAGAGCAACATAAAACATCAGCAAAAGAAACATAACATTAGGACTGCAATAGATATTTAAGCAGACAGTCTGTAATTAATTTTAAGGACTGTAATTTAGCCAGAACACTGTGAAAAGTGTGAAGGGATCTTTAATTGGAAGGGGTAAAGAACATGGCTTTGTATCTCACCTGGGATGCAATACCACCCCAAGGAGATTTGCCCCTCAAGCATGGAGTTGTAAAACACAAACAGCACTGTCCTCAAAGAGGAGGGACACAGCGTCCCCTCCACCCCATCACTGCACAGCTTCCCATCCTTGTTGCTGAAGTACCTTTTTTCTCTGCTACCGTCTCTCAGCACATCTGCCAAGGAAATGAAGTCCTTCTTTTTCACCTTGGTACTTCTGACAAGCTGAGGCACTTGAGTTAATGACTTTCCCCCAAACTTACCACCAGCTGATTTCTAGCCAGAGATAAAGGAACATAGGTCTAAGCAGGAAGGGGCTCCCTGAGATTTTTCTGAGGCTGATGGGTCCACACCTGACACCAAAAGGCTTCACCTCTGGCTGGGGCAATCTTCTTGCTCTTCCCTGGACCTACAGCCACCAATGGGCTTCTTGCCCCCTGTGCCATGGGTTTGCTTGGTGAGGCACTTACATTCTTCCTCGCAGGAGCTGGCAGCAGGGCATGGACACCTTCCCTGCAGGTGTCCCTTTCTAAAAATCTGGTACCCCTTTGCTGACACCTCACAGGTAACGCTTAACATCAACAAAACGTGCTTGTGCAGCCTGGGCTAAGCAGTCTGTAGAAGCAAGGCCATAGGGGTCTCTGCCTTAGAAAGAGCTTAGAAAGTGAGATGGTTGCCCTGGGCTATCTCTTACTGCTGGGGAAATGTTTCTGTCTCCACCTTCTGGCCAGCAGAAGCCTCCTGGAACCAGCAATGCAACACAACTATTTTGCTGCTGACAGACCAGGAGCCATCATGAAGTTCCCAAGGGCCCCTGGAACATACCATCTCTCTCCTAGGAGTAAAAGTGGACTGTTATCAGGAACGGGGTGATGACTTCTGACCTCCAACAACCATGGAAGAAAGGAAGAGTGTGAGACTGAAAGAACTCAGCTAAAAGATGATAGTGGCACTGGCTGCCAATGAAAATGGCAACAGACAGCAAGAAGCAGAATCGCTGTCAGCACCCACTGCATCCATGACGCTTCCTGGCCCTGGGCAACAGTCTCGGGTATGCCAGTCAAATATGCACTGTGACTGAGGTCTGGGCTTTGAGGGGAGAAGTGGAGACAGAAAAGACACAGTCCTAGTTCTTGGAAATGGAGAAAAGCAAAACTAGCAAGGGAGACTTGTATCATCCCCTCTCACTGTCCTGCAAAGCCTCCTGTGAAGGAGGTTCCCTTGCCCCTCACAGCTGATATTCTTTCTCTCTCTGGTGGCTGGGCAGCATTAGTGCATTAGTGCAGATGAATACCTTTCCAGGATCTAGGGAGTGATGGATTTCAAGACTTCAAACTGTATCTCCTGGGAGTTAGGTAAGAGCTTTCCCCTCCATCAGTGAAGGAAATGAGGCACCAGCTGTGGCTGGAAGCTGAGCAATGTAGGAGGCAGCTAATACATTCAAGTGATTTCAGACAAACACGACTGTCTCAGAGAAGCTGATATATTCATCAGAAATGGGTAAGAAGCCATGGATACTGAGGGCTTCAGTGAGAGAGCTATCTTATCATACATCTCTGGTGCCTTAGATAGGGATTTTGGATGGGTTGTTCCTTAGGAGGAAGAGTACCACTTAAATGGATTGCCAGAGCATGGACTAGTAAACCACAATTCACAATCCTGTGGGGCTAACTCTGCCCTGTGCAGGGAGATTAGTCATGTCCAGGGCTGCTTCCAGATGCAACAAAGCTATCACAGCTCCTTTCTGGCCAGTGCAGGGCAGACCCTTCTCCTGGGGGTTCAATCTGGAGTAGCACATGCCTCCACCCTGAGGAGGTTAGGCCAGACCCGCTACAGGTCTGCAAGCAGGGAGAAACATCAGCTTTACCCTTTCATGGTGCCAGCAGGAAAAAGGTGAATTTCCCATCCACTTGTTCCTCAGTGGCAAACAGGGCCACAGTTCAGCACAAATCCCTCTTTTGGGCCAACTTCCTGCCTCCATCTTTCATCCTTCTTGAGGCACGTTCCTGCCTGTTTCACCTTTCAGCTCCTCTGCCCAGAGCTTTGGCAGTGGAAGTTGTGTGAGTGCCTGTGTGCCTACAAGTGCTGACAAAATTCAGCCCTGAGCAGCAATGCTGTTGCCCCCCTTCACCCATGCTGAAGCTAATGCACCATGCATGCAGAAAGGCCTCTGTTGGAGCTGCCTGAACTGCCAGTCCAGGGGCTGGGTCATGGGCACAGACCTGATGTCTGTCTGACAAACATTTAAATGCCTCATCTTTCCCATAATACAGAAAGCTTGAGGTGGAGGAAGTTAAGCAATGGAATAACAACCAAAATAAATAGGTAATGAAGTAGAGGCAGAGAAGCAATCCTGGATTTAGGGCTGAGGCAGCCGTCATCACAATATGCACAGGGGAAAGCCAAAGCACAACTGCTCCACCCTTCCAGTCCCATCCCATCACACCTCATCCCTCAGACCCATAGAGACACCTTTCTGTCTGCAGCTCAGGCCTGCTCTCATAGTTTCCCTATCCAGCAAGAGTGCTGAGAGACAGAGAGAGGCTCTTAGAGGCCAGTGCTGCAGCTGGATCCAGCCAGGACTTCACCACTCAGTGTGCTCCATGTCATTGGTCCCTTCCTGCTCCATCTTCTTCAGGCTGGCGGGTGAGAAGCACAGAGAAGTGGGGAAAGGCCAAAGCAAACCACACTGGGGGCCATTAAATACATGAGAGCCTGGAAGATGTGGATGGATGGAGACACTGAAGCACATGCGGTGTGAGGCAAGGTGCTCTGGCCACTGGCACTTGGGGTGGCTGCTGCCCCACGGTCGAGGCCGGCATTACTGCAGGGAGCTGCAGCTGGAGTGGGGCAGCCCCAGCCAGCGGGAAAGCATGAGGAGACAAGGGGAGTACTGCAGTATATCATCCACTAAGCTGTGGGCTCTGCAGTAAAGAAGGTAACTGTTCTGGTAGAAATTTGTGCTTTAATATATTTTTGTTTGTTTGTTTAAAACAAGTTCCCACTTCCCTGAGGAAGCCCTGTCCGACATTCCCAAGGAAACATGGGGGTGTTTTTTTTCCTCCTTCATTTGCTCTTCACATTTCTTCATTCCTATTTTTTTGTCTTTCATTCCTTCTTTTCTGTGTCTTTCTGTTTCTTTCCTTCCTTCCTCTCTCTCTCTCACTCTCTCGTGCACGTGCTTTTAAAAAAAGTTTTGTCTTTATTTTTAAACTTCGTTCTAGACATTATGACTTTCTCAAGGAGTGCTCCAGTTCTGAACCAGATCCTTTTGCGTGGTCATGCCTGTCAGTCTTTGGTAACATATGGACACTTTGGTGTGCCAGTGAGGAGGGTAGGAAAAAGGAGCAGAGGTGGCTGATCAGGAAAGGAGCAGGAATGTCTTGGTCCGAAGACAGGAGCGCTCGCTTGCCATCATCTGAGCAGCACGTAAAGGAAGAAAGTCAATGGGCCGCAAACACAAGGGCTGTGCAGGGCTGGGACACCGCTTCCTGGAAGAGCAACCGCTGCGAGTCAAGAAGAGAGAAAGAGAATTAGTGATGGGACAGATATAGACCTCATCCAGCAAGTCATCACACATCCATGTCTTCTCCCACCCCAAAACACCCATATCTATTGGGAGACATTTCTAGCCTTTCCTGGACATTTTCAAGGTTTCCTAAAACTATTTCTTTTCTAACTTTGGAGAAAAGGTTGAATCTTAGATACTTTTGCAATCCAACCCTCCTTTCACCCCCAGAAGTTTCAGCTTGAGTCAAACAAAAGGTTCTGCCTGTGTTTTGGTTACAGCTTGACCATCCTAGGCTGAAACAGACCTTTAACTGCACATAAAATTTTGACATTTTTAGGGTGTTCTCACTTTTTTTATGTTTTGTTTCCCCCTTCACCTTTGAAGTTAAGAAAATTGCTGAAAGTGACTCTTACTCAACAATTTTTTTTGTTTCAAAAATAACGAAAACTTGCTCACCAGTGCCTGCCTGGCTCTGGTTTGCCTACTCCGAACATCTGTCCTCCTGCCCATCTGAGGCATGTTATTGAGGACACAGGCAGGACTAAGGCAATAGGCACACCAGTGATTCCCACTCGAGGGCTAAATGCCTACATACTGCTTACTCACCTTGCTATGGCTTCAACCTACAGTGCACCTCAGTGAGAGTGGAGTTGTCTCCATTACTGCAGTGCTGGCATCAGGTTATGTGGATGGACTGGAAAGAGACTGGTGGGATTTAGCTCATGTGCTCACTGTCAGGACTGGGAGAGAGGTGCCGTACAGCTCAGGTAGCTTGCTCCCATCCTGCACGTGTGACACCTTGCCTGGCTGTGCCTCTCTGCTCAGCGGGCAATGGGAAGAAGCCCAGCCCCTTTACTCCATGCCCCAAAAAGCAGATTTTTTTTCCCGGAGAAGGACTGACTTAACACTGCAGAGGCCATTAAATCCTGCAGAAGGCCCTTCCCTTTCCAAAGCTCCCACACCTAGGGTTTCCAGAAATGAGTTACTGCAGAAGTCCTTGGCTTCTTTGGGATGACACCCCCACCCAACGTACTGGTGCAGACTTCAGCATGCTGGTGTCTGGCACCACAGTCCCTACAGGATCTGGTTGTTCCTTTGAGCTCTGCTAACTCACGACTGTAAAGAATAAGTTAAAGATTTTGACAGCTCCTCTGCTGACTTCTGCTGATGGAGTCAAACACTTTGTTGAGTCCCACCAACATGTCAACGTGCTTTGAAATTAGCTGCGCATCCTTAGTGTATGCATTTTTGAATGCACTCATACCAACTCATTTGCCTCTGAGGCACACACAGTCTCACCTTTATTCGGTCCAATTGGCTTCCTCGGACAGTCTCCCTTTTTCAGAGTGACGTCATCGATGGCAATGTCCCCCTCGTAGCTCGTGCCCCGGACACCTTCAAAGATTAACTGCAAGCAGAGCATGGGAGAGAGCCTGGCATGAGCCTGCAGTTGTGGAGGGCCCTTCCTGCACTTCAGGGCTCTGCAGAGGTGAGCAGGACACAGACCAGATCTTATCAGGTCCCCAAGTGAATGATTCTTCCCTGTTTCTCCAGTTCTCACAGAACCTGGAAAGCCAGATCCCACTGCTTATGGGACCAGCCTCCCTGTGCTGAGTGTCTCTACAGTAATAAACGAGCATGTAAAGCTCTGCTTTCCTAAGTGTTCTGCACGAGCAAGCCAGCCAATACTGAACAGAACTTGTCAGAGTAACTACATGCTTATTTATTATTTTGAAGCATACTGGGCATTTTGTCACAGTGCTACAACTTACCAGCCTGCACAGAGCAGCTCTCACAAGCAACCCTACAACAGCAAAGTAGACTGTTGGGTAAAAACATCAGCAATAAAAGCAGCCACTGCCTGGGTACACGAGTGACTCAATGAGGAGATAAAGAGTGCCCAGTTCATAATCACAAAATCTCCTATAATCCTAAACCAGGGGAAGGCGGTGGTGGTGGTGGTGGTTCTTGCAGCACATGCTAGAAGAAACCTCTAGCACTCAGTCATTTTACACCAACAGCCAGCATCCCCCAGATGTTCAACACCAAGAGACCTGTCCGTCACACAGACATGGTACCAAAAGGTGCTCTTTGATAAGCAGTTTCCAGATCAGCAATAATCAGAAACTTTATAGTGCCAAACTGATGCTTGCATGTAACTTCAGCAAGCTTTTGCTTTGCCCCAGTGACCCTAGGAGTTGAGAGCTCCCAGTGTCCTCCCAGTGCCCCACCACTGCCCATGCCACAGAGGCAGATGACTGTTGGGAAGGTTCCTACATCCATGCCACATGGACAGGAAAGGTGGCAGGTGTCTCCTTGACTGTGGAGCTGACTTACCTGGAAGGGCCCGGGCGGGTTGATGGGCACATGTGCTTGCTGCCACATGTTCCCCCGGTTCCCACTGAGTGACCAGACCTGGGTGTCGATGGCTCGCTTGTTCCGCACACGGACTAGGAGGTTCAAGGAGCCTGTAAGAGAAACCAGGTGCAGGTGTAACAGGGCAGGCATGCAAGCCTGCCTGCTGGGCTTGGCTCCAGCACAGCTCTGGGGCTAGGCCTCAAACCATGGCTGTATGCCCCAGCTGGCCCAGGGACAGCCTGCAGAGCTGCAGCAGTAATCTCTGAAGGGAGCCAGCTTTCTTCTCTGTTGATGGATAAGTGCCACTGGCAATGTTTCATCCACCTGGACTATCCAAGGGAGGACACAGACCCAGACAAAGAGGGACAGGATGAGGAAGAGGAAGTCTACAGCACAGCTGGGGTGTGACAAGAAGGGGGTAGCAGAAATGCTAGTTGCCAGGGACCTCTGGACGCATCCCATCCAACCTCCTGCTTGAAGCTGTCTCCTGCTCTACAGGAAGGCAGCATGGTTTTGCCTGGCCAAGTCTTGAATTTCCCTGAGGAAACCAACTTTTCCTAATGTCCAGTATAAACCTTCAGCACTGCCAGTTGTTGTCACTGTAACCTACTATATTATCTAATACTGTGAAAAGATTTTGGTTCTGTCGTCTTTGAATTTGCCTTGAAACAGTCAGGGACCAAGAGCTGACAGTAACCTCCTCTTAGCCAGACTGAGCCAGTCCAGCAGCCTTAGGAGCTCTTCCTCAGGATTTCTGCTCCTGGTCCTTGACCATCTTGATGCCCTTCTGCTGGACCCCCACCAATTACTCTTCAATCCACTGGAAATGGGGAGCCCAGAACAGGTATTTGTCTCTCCCTGTTCACCACTGACACCTGACACATGCTATGCAGCTTATAGCACTCTCCCTGCCATGGCCCTGGAAATATGTTGTGGAAGTATGACTAGTGTCCTCACTCACCACTTGCCCTGGAAGCAGCCTTGGAGTGAGCACCGTTTCTTTGCAAGCACTGGACAGCGTTGCCTGTACCACACCCCCTAGTACCATCCCAGCTCCATGTTTTCAGAGGGACACAAAGACCCTGTGAATGAACACTGACTTCAAGTTTCTTCAAAAAAAGCAATTCCCAAAAGGTTTTGTCTGCCACTAAACCAAAACCAAAGCCAACAAATTTCAAAGCATTTCCAGTTCTCACTTTGTAAAGTGTGTCACAGCCTCCTACCCTACACCCACAAATGAAACCATCTCAGTTTGTGTTCCTGCAGCATCTTTTCACTAATGCTCTCAGATGACTTCTTTTCCTATTTTGCTTAAGGGAAAAAAAACCATTTTAAAGCAGTCAACATCTTAAACCACTCAGGGTTAACCTAAAGACTTTTTTTCCTCAAAAAGTCCATCAATCCCAACTCTAGTTATGCTGTTGCTCATCAGTGTTTCTGATCTCCATATGTAGATATATTACACCTGAGAGCAGAGTGGCAATAGTAACCCTTACTTATACATCTATATAGTCTATCTGCACTTGGGATGCTGCATTCTCGAATGGGTACAGCCTTTCTGAGAATCAGCAGAAAGAGGTCAGGGGAAGAGAAAGGGAAACAGACTTTCCTATATAACCTCCCTCCTATGTGATCCCCCCAAATTCTTCATTCTTGGCACATTTGCCTTGGGGGCACGGTGTGAATCACAAGGACCTGGAATTACCCCCATCAAGTGGCTGGCTGTCAGAAACTGAGAGATGCATCACAGGGAGTTCAGAGATGCATAATAAAGATGATGAAACGTTTAGATTCTGAGTGAATGACTTACAAGAAAAGGTTAAAAAAATGAAATATGTATACAATTTAGTGAAATGAGGAAAGGGGGGCATTTTATTGCCTGGAAATATTCTGAAGTGTTAACAGTAAGGCTAGCTGAGAAAACTAGATGAAGGCCTGACAGGACATGGACAGAGTATCCAATTCCCTTCCCTAGTGGTACCCAGTTTTGGATGCACACCATAACCCAAGATCAGGAGAAAAATAGATTGTTCCTCCATCTCTTGAGACCCAGCTGGCACTGCACAACCTTGGTGGGCCAGAGGTAAGTGAGTGAGACCTCTCTTCTGGAAACATGGTGGCACAGACAAGAGATGCCAGAGCCTCTGGTAAAACCAGGTTTGAGCTGCTGATTTCTTGGCATCTTCCTTGCCCTCGGGAGCTTACTAGGAAAGCCTCTCTAAGAAGGATATCTAGTCCTCATGGAGGCCCTTGTTAAAACTGATGGCTCACACAGGAACTATGTAATTCCACAGATCAGTGTCAACAGGAATGTGTTCAGAGCAGCTAATTACAGACACCAGAGCCAGTGAGGTGAGGGATTGAGAGTGAATCAAGAATTAATATGAAGCTGATAGCAAGCGTGGATTAAAAACAACCATTGTCTATTCCACTCTCATTTGGGGACTTGTAGCTAGGATCTGCTGCACAACAGCCTGACTGAGTACCCAGCACTGGGACAAATCAGGCAGCAAATGAACTTTGATGCCCTAGGAAAAAGGAAAAGTGAGATAGAAGGAAACCCAGAGAAGCATCTGGAATGCAAATTAATGCCTCCAAAGCACTGTCTGTGAATGCCTGGCCTAAACCCAAACCAAGCCTGAGCATATCCTGGCTGACAGCTCCATGTCCTTGCAGCGTCAGGAAAAACGTTTCAACCTTTTGGACCCCAAATTCCCTAATACAACAATACTGAATACGAGCAGGCATTCTTCAAATGGTTTGCAGCTGGAAAGAAAGCTCCCTTATCTACTCACAACATGCAGTGTTTCACTACTCCTGTCCACAGATAGAAAAATGAAGGTCAAAACAGATGAGCAGTATACAAATCAGTCAGAGCTGTGAAGGGCAGCCAGGTGTCACAGCCCTACCTGCAATTCCTGCTGAGTTACAGAGGCTCCCTGAGACTGGAAAGGAACTACAATACCTCCAGCTGTCGCTGGGAATATGCTTCTGGGAGGCATGGCAGAGACTCTAGGACTTTAAACATCTGGACTGTCCCATCTGAATTGAGGCCATAGTGTTGTAAATGTTAAAGATCGTGGAGGTCTTCTACTTTATTCCCTTCTACCATGTGTCAGTCTGCCATCAGTTGGCAGTCTGGCTTCAAAAGCCAACTTTGTAATGGCATAAGTGCTGCAGGGCTTTGTGTTTTCCAAGGGAAAGTTCTGGGTTCAGCCCACTGCCCTAAAATCAAGCATTGTTCAGGATCTCAAAAATTAAGTCTCAGGCTAAAAAGGGAGGTGGAACCTATGTAGATATGGACATCCATAGGTCCTGACCTCTGGTAGATTCACATCTCCCCACATCTATTTTCATGCAATCTAGCAATACCCATCTCATGTCTTATTTGCTATCTGTATTCCTGGTGTAGCTTTCAGCATGGCACACGAATTCAGCACGAACCAACCACCTAATGCTTGTTAAGTGCCTCTCCTAGAGCAAAGACTACATCTCCAAATCCCACTTTGCAGGAGGTAGTCAGTGCATAGGCCATGCATGTGTGGAGTGTGAGGAGCCCCTTTACAGCTGAAAACTGACTTGCTGTGGGATCCTCAGCAAACTGCCTTTACCTGCTTACTGCTGACACAATATGATAATCAAGCACGACGATAACTCTCAGTCACTCAGAGGGGAACTGAGAAACATAGCAAACATTTTATGAGACCTGAGAAAACATAAGAGTGCCTGAGCTCTTCTTCCTTTCCAGTGGTTACAAACTGAAAAGAACCAAAGTGTGACTTGCTCTCCAACTTCCCATCAGTGAAGATGTGAAAGGCCCATATGGGATGTTCTCCAGTGCTGCAGTCACCCTTTTTGCCTCGTTTTAAACTGCAATTGTGCCTACTTTCCAGTATCAGAGTCCAAAACCAGCTGGCCAGTTTTGTTACCTATTTCTGTCATTGTTGCCCCTTCCCCATTTCCCCTGTCTGGCATTTCCTAAAGGCTAAAGACATCTGCTGGTGAGCGACATACAAAATCAGACCATCTATCTGCTGCTAAATCTCTCCAGCTGACCAGAGACAAACAAACAAAAGAGAAATCCCAGGACACCAGCAATCCTATTGTTACCTCTTCTCATACAAGGCAATCTTTTTGCATTTGTCTTGTAATCTGTATTATTCCTTCTTCCCAATCAGAAGGGAGAATAAAGGCCAGTGACGAGTGATGAGGAATCAATTACAGGCAGAGCGAGTGGTACCTTCTGCTGGCTGCCTTTAAGACCAGAGCTGGCATTTCAAAAGAGTGGCACTCACACAAAAGAGCACCAGCTGGGCTGCCAGATACAGTAGCCCAAGGGATGCCTTTAAATGTTACTTTCTCACAACAAGAAAAGGTCTTCACTCAGTTTCCACAGGATGGGGACTTGACTGCTGCATTGAATTGCAGTGTAGATCCAGAAGGGCTAGCACAGGCAGCAGTGGGAGGGAGGTAGGGTATGTGAGGGCAGGGCCGCCGGCACAGTCTGTGCAGGATTGCAGAGAAGGTAGAGGTTTCTTCAAGAGTTCTCTACAGGGAAACTGGAGGGGGGTCAATGCAGGGTGATGGTGTGGGAAAAGGCTAAGGCACGGCTCAGTTTATCTGGCTCAGATGGAAGGCAGGCAGCTGGAACAGTCAGGAAGTGAAAGGAGGCCGATGCTGCATGCTGAGAGATGGGGTGCAGTGCTAAGTGCAGCAGAGATTCATGGGATGGGTAGGGAAGGCTGGGAGCTGGGCTGGCTGCAGGCTGGAACGCAGCCTGGTCTCACTGGGACTCTCTTCTGTGCTCCTGCAGGATCCTCGCTCCAGCATGGGGCAATCATCTCAGGCAACTAGCTATTCACGAGAATTCCTAGCTGCAGCTCCAGTTTAGATTTGGCATCAACTGGGAATTTAAGGCTGAAAGCCCCCATGGAAATTCCCCCGGCATTTCAACTACAGACAAGACAGACCAAGATAAAAAGCTGACTGATTGCAAGAGATATCCAGTGATACACAGTGATACACAGAAAGAGATACACAGTGAGGAGAGGGTTTAGACCTCGCATATCTTAGCAGAGTCACCTGCAGACTCAACATGAGGGCTAAAACT